AGAACCTCCTTACATGCTTTTCCATAAGGTTAAAGTTTACCTGTACCCTCACCCAAAATTCTTGACAAAGGTGGTTTCCAATTTCCATGTGACCCAAGTAACGTATTTGCCAATGGTCTTCCAAAAGACTTATGCACGTAGATAAGCAAAGGCTGCATTTGTTGTATGTGAGGCGGGTATTGACCTTCTATTTGGATCACATCAGACTATTTTGATCCTCAGTGCAGTTATTTGCCACAATTGCAGACAGAATGAAGGGCAAACCGTTTTTCACGCAGAGGATTTCCTCCTAGATTTGCTTTTGCATTCGGTTTTGCTACCAATTAGCTAATGTCATGCCACTCCCAACAGTACTGGCGCATTCGACTAGAACTCAAGCGGCGTCAGCAGCTTTCTGAGCACAAGTTCTCCTTTTCAAGACATTTGTAAGGCAGGAACCTGATCATCAGTTCACAATTTTGCTGCTTATTATACCATTTCCCAACAGTTCAGAAATTATGCCACTTTTCGACAGATTGTTCTTCAATCATGTTCAGGTGGACTCCGATCCCACCTCCATATTAATCTGTTTATGCATCACTACAGTGGAATGGACATGTGCAATCACTTGAAGAAGAAAAAACGGTTACCTACCTTTCTGTAACTGTTGTTTTTTGAGATTTGTTGCATGTGTCAGTTCCATCACCCTCCCTCCTTACCTTCTCTATTGGAGTCTGTCCGGCAAGAAGGAACTGAGAGAGGTCGGGGTACCTCTGCCCTCTTAACCTGGCATGCAGTGATGTGTGGCGACAGAGGGCACTCAAGCTGGCCCTGATGGTACTGCTGAGAGAAAGAGTTCTTCAACAACTGCATGAGGTGTGCATGCATCTACAGTGGAATGGACATATACAATACACCTCAAAGAACAACAGTTACAGAAAGAAAGGTAACCATTTTTTACGTGCCTAGGCCCCCTATACAATGAATGCAGAGAGAAGGGTGCCTTAGAATGCAATCTGAAAAAGCCACTCTATTAGGTGGGGAGCTGCCTAAACTAGCCAATGGGAGATGCCCAGGAGAGGTCTGTATCCTAAACCCTGCTGCCCTCACAGAGATAGGTGCCTCCCCACTGCCTGAATTTGTGCACCTATCTCTGCAGTGATCCTGCAGTGCTGGAATCCACAAGAATCCAGTATCAGACTGTTTTAAGAACAATGCAGGAGAAATCAACTGCCCTAAGATGGGAAAACCACAAAACAAATATGCATTCCCTACATATTCTCCATTTTCAGGACAGAATTGGGTACACCTCATTTGTTCCCCATTCACAGACCCCACTTGTCTCATGATGACTTTTCTCTTTATCTTCATTTACTGGCATTCCCTTTCTCCTGCCCAGAGGCAGAAACTTAAGTGCTGAGGGAACTCTTAATCTGAAAATGTAGGCACTGCATGAATTTAGGCACCTACAAGTTTCAGCAGGAGTTTTGTGGAGTGCAGTGGTGCCTAAGTCATGGGTTTAGGTGTTCAAGTATCTTTGTGGATTGGGACCCCTGTTTCGCTTTAGTAGGATGTTCTTATCTGTGATCTGCTTTTGCATTCTGTTCCTGCTCCTCTCGAATCTATTAAACTGAATTTAGCATTCTTTGTTAGAGAGAAGTTTTGTGTAATCCAAATGAAATAGCACTTTCTCCTCCACTGTAGTTTCTGCTGCCTCAAGCTGAGTTGTTTCAATGTGACTGATCAGCATCTCAGACAAATGAAATGGGAAGAGTAATAAGCAAGGTAATGCAGCTGGACATGAGGAAATGACAGTAGGCAAGGGGGAAGAGACAAGTAAGCAGCAAGGCACACAGAAAGATAAGTATAGTGGGGAGATAAAAACTGCACATAGGAGAGAAATTTTTTCCGATCACTATAGTGGCTCCTTTTGCTTACAGACAAGATTCTAGTATCGTTGTATTTTAGAAACAATGCAGGAGAAATCAACTGCCTCCCTAAGATTGGAAAACTACAAAAGAAATATGCATTCCCTTCATTTTAGGGACAAAACTGGGTACAACTTACCCCTGTTCCCTATTCACAGCCCCCACTTGTCTCATAATGATTTTTCCTCATTTGTTGATCTTCCCTTTCCCGTTGTTCCTCACTTTTCCTCCCTGCTATTGCTCCCTGAGTGGGTCCAATAGCTGGCTGCAAAAGGAGCATAGAAATCTGTAGATTGACAGTCCAGTTGCTTAAAGGGAGCCCACCAGGCTGTGGTCCCCACTTCAGTGGCTCAGCATCAGCCCCAGCTATGAGGAGCTATATGAAGCAAGACAGATTGGAGCATCTCTGTCACTGCAACTCTTCTATCTACCTCCCCGCGCTCTCCCCGATGCTCCTAATTCCCTCTCTGCTCCTGCCTTATGCTCATTCACTCTTAAATTCTCTGGACCAATTAGAGACCTGGAATCAGAATTTAGAAGCTTTTTGGGGGAAATCTAGCCACCAGCACTGCAGGTCAGGTGCTATTGGCAGATTCCAGTCCATTTTAAAACACAGCATCTGGTACAACCCTGAAATACCACCGCTGTAGCTGAGAAATATTAATACATTGATGGAGTTACTCTCGATTTCCATCAGTGTAATGGTCCAGCATGTCCAAAGGGGAAGTTTTCTTTGCAGTAAAATGCCTCTAAATTGTGTATACTTTTCAAAAATGTTTAGCATTTGGTTAAATATTATTCCTCACAAAACCATGAACAATGAATATTCACTTGATAAATGTGATCTTTGGTGACCACCACAGCATTTGCCACGTGGTATGCAACTGAGAACAATGATTTAACTAGCAGTATTCAAATATAGTTATCTTGCACTGCATTTCATAGAGAAGTACTTTTTCTATGCAGAAGGTTATGAGTGAGGAAAGGGGAAACTTGATGTGGAGGTTTTTCACTGTGACAATAATTTAGCTTTAGATCAACCTGAGTGAGTAATTTGTAAAACAAAAATCTCCCATGGCATTGGGGCATCAGGCTTCATTACAACTGCCAGGATAAACCACATGCAGTTCAAGCACTCCAGTGTATAGTAAACAGCAGGCACTAAAGAAACATGCTGAAATTAAAATAATTTATGACACCTAGACTATTGCACCAAATTTGGTAGTTCTTATTGTGTTAGAAACCATTGAACAAATCATGCTAAAAAAAGTACCAGAATCTGTAACAGCAAGAAAAAAAAAGTACAACACAAACACCTGTTAAGAAATCACATATGGACAGTACAAAGCTGTGGAAGTGTTAGGACAACATTTTAGATGAACCACAGTCTCCAGTGGCATCAACTTACTGTGCATACAGAACTAGGATTTTTTGTGTCTGACCATGTATGTTTTTATCATGACCCTGTTGGATGGGTGGAGATACAATATTCTTCATCTTTCAGTTCTTGCTGCTATTACAGTCTAATTTCTAAGAGCGTCACTGAGGCTCTCCATGATTGCTGAGGATATGTATTCAGACCAGAGATGTTTAGAGACTTTAAAATGCACTTGTAATGATAAATAACAAGAATAAGGACCATAGCTTCAGCTAGTGTAAATCAGTGTGATTCCACTGAAGTCAATGGAGCTACCCTGATTTACACTGGCTGAGGATTTGACCCAGAATATGTGTACTTGCATTTGATGCAGACTGAATGTTTTAACAAATGCCAAAATAATTTTCACTGCTTCTAAGTGAATTTTGTATAATCATTATGAGTGAGCGATTTAGCAACAATTACAATTCAGATTGCCAGCAAATAACATTCACTATGAATCAGCTTTAAAACCTTTATTGGATAGGCGAGATAAATACTTCCTGAAAGTACAAAGACAATTTTGGCATTGGTTTACATTCAATTTAAATTTTTAAAATGTATAATATTCAAATGATTAATCAGTATTTTGCTAGTGGAGTACTATACCTTACTGCGAATGATATCATTATTTTAGGTAAACATTCTATAGAGTAGGTTTCAGAGTAACAGCCATGTTAGTCTGTATTCGCAAAAAGAAAAGGAGTACTTGTGGCACCTTAGAGACTAACCAATTTATTTGAGCATGAGCTTTCGTGAGCTACAGCTCACTTCATCGGATGCATACCGTGGAAACTGCAGCAGACTTTATATATACACAGAGAATATGAAACAATACCTCCTCCCACCCCACTGTCCTGCTGGTAATTCTATTCTATTCTATAGAGTAGTAATTCTCAAACAGTGAGTCCGGACCTACCAGTGGATCACAGGAAGGGACTAGATAGGTCGCCTGTTACTGCCCCCCATTACTCCCTGCCCCATGCATGCCAGAGAAGCGCTTCTCAGTGTGCTCTGACTTCTAACAGGCCAGGGCAGCAGGCTGCAGTGTGGGGAGTGGGACCTGGCTCCAGCGGCTGACAGCTGAAGCTGAAAACATCACAGAGGTCTGGTAAAGTCAGGGAGTCCATGCCTGCCATGACTAAATGGTATCCTTAATCATCAGGCACTCTGGTTCAAAGTGGTTCATAAAGCTCACAGTGCACGACAAGAAGGGAAAATGTAGCTGACACCAGGCCCCCTGCCCCTTATGAGTATTTCCATGGATCTTCAATGTGCGCCCTGAGCAGACCGGCCTTCGGTTGTTAGCCTGTCAAACTGCATCAAGCACTACGTTCCCATGTGCAGCATCCCCTGTCCCGCAGCCCACTCCACGCACTCACTTGGGTGGGGAGGTGACAGGGCTGCAGAGCTGTTATCAAGGGCAGTGAGATGCTCCACCTCGGTGTTTGCCTGGTGGCGCCAGCGGGGATCGTTGCCCTGCGCTGTGCAGCCTCCCCCAGGGACTCTGGGCAGCGCCTCTGGAGACATGTGGGGTCGCTGTGCGAGGCGGCTCTCGCCACTGGAGGCGGCTGCTGGGGTGCTCCCCTGGGCAGCTCCCCCGCTCCCGCCCGGCTGGCGAGTTCCTGCCGCAGGGCGGGCTCTCACTGAAGGGCCGTGGGAGGCAGGGACAGAGAGACGGGACGGCGCTTCCCTTGCCTGGGGCCGCACTTGCTGTTTACAGTTGCTGTAGCTACCGCCGCAGCTCAACGGCGCCGGGCTGCTGCAGGGCTTGGCAGCTCCCCAGCGGGGCGAGGGGCTCCGGCTCCCCGCGGGGACCCGGGACTGCAGGGAGCGGGGCGGGCACAGTCTCAAGGGGCTGGCTGTACAACGCAGCGTCCTCCAGAGAGAGCCGGGGAGGCTCGGTTGGGAGAGCGGCTGCTGAGGGCCCGGTTTACGACACCATGTAGTAGCCGATGGAGGCTGCTCTGAAAGGGCCACTGCTGAGGCTTACAGCCCACCGGGCCCGCAAGCTTGGAAACTCCCTCCGTGGCAGCAGGAGACTCGTCGGGCTTTAGGACCCCAGGGAAAGGCTGCGGCAGCCAGGGTGCGGGAGAGCTCAGGGCAGGTAAGGAAGCCAGTGCCTGGGGGAGACGAGTGGAGGGAGAGAGCTGCTCCCGCTCCCGCTCCCGCTCCCGCTCGGCTCTCTGGGGGTAGGCAGGCCGGGCGGGGCTGCGGCGCCACGTGGAGAGCCCGGCAGCGGCGGGGGAGGAGCTGTGGACGCTGGGAGCGAACGCTCAGAGCCAGCTGTTGTCCTGGGGGGCGGGGCCGCTGTGCAGGGGCGGGTGGGGCGGCAGACACTGAGGACTAGAGCCCGCTGGTACTGGGGGAGGGGGCAGAAGCCAGCTGGGGGGGTGCGGGGGGAGGCACTGTGGATGCTGCCCAGAGCAGGTGCGAGCCCTGCAGCCTGGCGAGGGAGCCCGGCGCCCCACTGCTAAGTGCCCTGCCTGCCCGCCCAGGGGAAGCTCTGCCGCGGTTTCGCTGAGCCCAGGTGTCTGTGAGGAGGGGAGAAGTTGGGGTGTCTCATACAGCAGCCCACCCCCAGCCTCTACTCTGGGGTGAGTCAGGTGTCTCCAGTGGATATTAACCCTGGCAGAAATCAGGGGGGCACATGACCCCATCTGCCCCCCACCCCACGCATTGCTCTGAACAGAAGAATAGGAGCAAAGTCCAAGTGCGTTGAATGGGGAGCTCTATTCTCTGCTGCCCGGCCCCATTTCGGGGAGGGAGGGGGTCATGCCCCACCAAGGGGCTCCCACCTAAATTCCTGTGGGATGCATGCAAACTGCTGGGTTCACCCCTTCTCATTAGCATCAAGAGCTCCATGGGTGATGTGGGGAGAGCCAGAGCTGCAAGGGAAGCCTTCCTTGCTGCCACTTGCAGAAAGGGGTTTGCTCCATTTCAAAACATACAGAAGAAGGGGCCCAAGTCCACTGATATCGACTCTATTGACTTCAGTGGGACTGCTCCCAGTGTAAACAATAATATCCATCAGTAAGGGATTACAGGATTGGGCCCCAGGGCTGGAAATATTTTTTGTAAATTAATGTTTGCTCTTAGATTAATTTACAGCAGTGAGTTCCACCAACTCTGCATGGGAGCACTCAGGCAGAGCAGCCAGGCTGGTGATGGGCAATTTAATGAGACTACCTGGTCAGACATTCCTTTGCTGAAATAAGCATATTAATTCCTATAAAATCAGCAGACCATTGGAACAAACATACTGCACAACAGGAGTTCCATGAAATAAATAAATAATGTACAGAAAACAATTGCTAATTTAAAATCCATAAAAGCAGTTAAGGAAGCATCTGCTACAATATATAGCCCCGAGCCTGCAATCAAGTCCATGTAGTTGGCTCCTTGCATGTACAGAGTCCCATTTACTTCAGTAGGTGTCCACCCACATGGAGCTAATTGTAGGATTGGGCATAAATGCTCCCCATCTCTCCAATCCCTAATTTTCATATCAAAGCGTAACTAGCCTACAGTGAATTGGTGTATCAGGATCTTTCTCTCAATTAGTTTACATAAGTAACTATTTTCTGAAAATGTATACATCCCAGTAATCCTAGGAGAGAGGCAAGAAAAAAAAATTTATGACTGCAAAGGTTTTGTTGTTTTCTCACAGGGGAAAAAAAAGGCAACATATTGCCCTACATTTTAACGAGCGTTGCTTTTACTGGGACTGGAAATCAAGGAACTGATTTAAAATTCTGATTAATCTGTTTTAATTATTTAAAAAATACTGTAAAGAAATTTGTTACCAAGTTCTCGAGACTTCAGGTGTATCTGAACACAGAGGGACCTGTACACACATGGGTATGTCATCTCTCTACTCCACTGGTATCCAAGCAGAATTGTATTATTATTTTTGAGAGTCATTCCCAGACGTGCTAGGCAAGGGGGTTGTAGTCTGAGCCTGACCAGTAGCCATCCATCACACCGAGAAGAGGAAGCTGGATGAGAGTGGTGCTAGGCGACTGCAGGGCCTATTTCTGTTCTTTTGTTCGGTCGTGCCTCTGAGTAGAGTTCCTCTGGGCAGTATCCAGTGACTCCTTAGATGCCTGTGAGGAGCAGTGGGCGCTGTCGGGGGTTCTTTGCTTGGTGTCCCCTTCTGGTTACCTGATTTTCACCTTATGACCTTCACTCCCATCCCTGGGTTTTTCATTTGTTGTCCCTCACTGTTACTTGTGGCCTAGGTTTGCTGGCCCTCTCCCCCTCAACTGAGGGGAGGGCCTTTAGCGCTGAGTGGGTTTAGGCTTGCCATCTCCCAGAACTACATTAGGTACGCACCTTCCCACTTCTGCAACAAGTGAAGCAGTCTTCTGCAGACAACAGCCTCCTCCACTACACAACACTGATTCACCTCCAGAGCGCCATCTAGCTTGTGTACTGAATGAGACAGGGTCCTGTGGGAAAAATAGTATGTGATGGTCACTTGGATGGATAAAGGCAGTATTATAACGCATACACACAAGGGGGCCAAATTAAGATTTCACAAGCAACCTGGCATTTACTAGTTTTTGCAACTTAATAATGTTTTTTTTCACTTTTTTTTTTTTTAGGGTATAATTCCTTAGTTTTTTAAAAAAGCAAACTGAAAAAACCATAAATTCCTAATCTGGCATTATATTGACCACCACATGGGTCAGCAGCAGCACTGGAACCTTGAAATCCACCACACAGACCTCTGTCACTTGAGTTAATGGAGTAACTGGTAGAAGTCGTATGTTGTCATCCTCTAGGTAGAGCAGCACTAGAGGAGAATGGATCACTTTGCCAGTGTATTTCAAGATATTGGCAGGCAGCAGACGAATGATGAGACTCAGGAATCTTCAGTTCCATTCCAAGCTCTGTAAGGGTGTGTTCTCTAGTGGACACAGAGTCTTCTGTCCATTTCTGCCCACACTGGACCCTTTCTATCTCAAGCCCTCCACCCTATCCCTGCCTCAGTCATGTCTCTTGCCCACCCTGGCTCTTCGTCCTATTTCCAGTCTCTGCTCCTCGGACTGCTTATCCTACTGTTAGTATCCTCCACTACATTTTCATTTGTTGTCCCTCACTGTTACCTGTGGCCTAGGTTCGCTGGCCCCCTCCCCCTCAACTGAGGGGAAGGGCCTTTAGCTCCGAGACTGAAAGGGGATACTGGAACAGATAGTCCTGAGATGTAAGACTAGGAAAAGGAAAAAAGGATCGGGCCCACAATTGTGTGGGTGCTGGAGGTGCCAGATTAACTTCTAAATATAACCTCCCACCCGAATATGTCAAACTGTCCAACATGTCCGTGAGCAGTGAGCATGCTCTATCCCCTCACAGCTCCTAGTGCTGACCATATTTTATCCCCTTTCAGTCCCAGTCTCCCAGCAGGTACTTTTTCTCGTCTTGCCCAGCCATTCCCAGTCCCACTACCACTACTCCTGGTTCCTTGTCTCCAGTCTCCTTGCTCAGCCAGTCCCAGTTTCCTCCCTATGCCCCAATCTGTCTCTCTCTCTTCCCCTGGTTTCCAGTCATCCTCTCTATGTCTCCTGTGTCCTATCCCCATTGGGTCCCAGTATCCCTCCCCAGGCTTCTCATCCAATCTGTGTCTCTGCCTTCACCATCTTCTTGCCCCAATCTACTCCTCTCAGCCTCCTTCTCGAAATTCCAAACTCTGGCTCTTGTTTCCTCTGTGTTCAAGTACCCGTCTAGGCTGCCTGGGTGCCAGCTGGGGGGTAATTGGGAGCACTGGAGAGACAAGCTTTTGCTCTCAGTTCTGGTGCCCAGTTGCACACTAGTCCCTGTATCCCTACTATGGAGGGAGCGTGCTCATTCTGTGGGGATGGCACATGTGTAGTCTGGTCTAATATAAGAACCGTGAGGGGCTGGAACATGCTCAGTTGCCCTGTGAGAATGGTGCATGCACGGTCTGGTCAGCACTAGGAGCTGTGAGGGGATAGAACATGCTCACTGCTTACGGACGTGTTGGAGATTTTAACTTCTAAATCTAAGAAGTCTCTACTGAGCATGTGCAAACTGAGAGTTTTCAAAGGCTTATAACTTGGCCAAATTTGGGTGGATTTTCACAGGAATAGCAAAAGATGCATCTCTAACACAAAGGCCACCTTCCTTCCAAATTTCAAGCCCCCACTTCAACGCGTGGACAGACCAACGCTTTTCAAAGAAAAGGTTGTCAAAAATGTTTTAACATGGGCAAAACAACAGATTATTTCCTAGTCTCATTCTTGGAAATGGCTGAACTGTTTTGGCTGAACATTTCCAAAAAAATTCAAGCAGAAGCAAACATCCAGCATGGGACATTTCAACCCAAACATTTCAAGTTTGGCAACATTATGAGAACCTGTTTTCAGCTGCTTATAATGGAAATATCAGGCTAACTTAGTAACCGGTGGTGCTACCAGCCCCACCTATATTATTCCCCAAACAATGCTTTTTTTATCTGAGAGAAAGGAGAAGAGCAGACTATTTCACCAGGCACATTTAATTTACCTGGGGAGCACCTGGATCAGAGATCAGCAGCCTTTCAGAAGTGGTATGCCAAGTCTTCATTTATTCACATCTGATGAAGTGAGCTGTGGCTCACGAAAGCTCATGCTCAAATAAATTGGTTAGTCTCTAAGGTGCCACAAGTACTCCTTTTCTTTTTGCGAATACAGACTAACACGGCTGTTCCTCTGAAACCTGTCATTTATTCACTGTAATTTAATGTTTCGTGTGCCAGTACGTTTTAACATTTTTAGAAGGTCTCTCTCTATAAGTCTATATTATATAACTAAACTATTGTTGTATGTAAAGTAAATAAGGTTTTTAAAATGTTTAAGAAGCTTCATTTAAATTAAAATGCAGATCTTATCAGTTTAGTGTGATCCTTGCCCTTTCTTTTCCTTGCTGAGTTTTCCAATGTCCCCAGGCCGACAGCGGGCTAAGCGGGGCCGGCGGCTGGGACCCCGGCTGGCAAGGGGCTGGCAGCATGAACCCCAGACCGGCAACGAGCTGAGCACAGCCTGCTGCCGATCTGAGGTTCCGACCGCCAGCCTCTGCCAGCTGGGGTCCCGGCCGCCGGCCCCGCTCAGCCCGCTGCTGGACTGGGCTTCAGTCCATCCAGGACAACAGTGGGCTGAGTGGGGCTGGCGGCCGGGACCCCGGCTGGCAGGGGGCCGGCAGATGGAACCCCAGGCTGGCAGCAGAGTGCCACTGAAAATCAGCTTGCATGTCGCCTTTGGCACACATGCCATAGGTTGCCTACCCCTGACCTAGATAATACAGTGATGGGTACTATAGAAAACCCCCACATTGACAGACATCTATCTTATTGGTCTTGGATTTCTAAAGAGGCAAATGTGAGTCTTCTTGTTGTTACTTAAGCTTTTTAATTAAGTGCCTGCTGATAGTGGATATCTCCTCCAGTCAGCGCGTTTGTAGCTGAGGGTTTTGTAGTTGACGGCTGCAGCTGTGCTGCTGTATTACTTCAGTGCAGACACTACCTACGCGGCCAGGAGGGGTTCTCCAATTGCTGTAGTTAATCTACCTCCCCACGAATTTTTCCGTTGACCTAGCATTGTCTACTCCAGGGTTTGGATCGGCTTAACTGCGTTGCTCAGGGGGGTGGATTTTTCACATCCCCGAGCTGAGTCAAACTAACTTTTAGTGTATACCAGCCCTGCATATCTTCATGCCAGTTCACCCCCGTCTTATAACTAGACTTGGAAGGATTAGATTTTTATTGGGCAAATGTCAATAAACATCGATTTCACAATGCACACACATACTGTTGAAAAAACATTTCCATTGACAGTAATCAAAAATACAGATGGGAAAAATAAGAAAAAGGCTGCTTGAGAACTTATTAGGGTTTGATGTAAAGATATTTACTTTGTATATTTAAACACATGATGTTGACAATTTGTGTTTAACCATTATAAAGTGCAAGTTTTTGAATCTCAACATCTACTTCATTAAAAATTGTCTGACCTTCCTATAGCCTCTGACTCCTCCATAACTTCCCACAACAATGAAAATTTAAATAGATAAAAATAAGCTTAAAACCCGTAATTTTGTGCAACTGTGACTATTTAAATAGATAAAAATAGAAAATATTTAACAATAAAAGTCAATATTATTGGTCAAAATTATAAAAAAATAAAAATAAAATTCTGCTAAGCCTACTTATAACTGATACTTTTATCCTCACTCTGACTTTGGCATCCGGATCACCACAGAGCAGGGCAAGTGATGTTAATCATAATAAGCGGATCTGGAAACACTGGATCAGCGATCATGAATTCTCCCAACACTGAGGATCTCAGGAGAGGAAGAAGAGAGAAGGTCAATGCTGTTGCAAGGCTCTTCCATTTCTAATCAGTGACAGGCAATAGAATTGGCTGGGGCCTTGAGTGAGATTAATATATGGCATTCAAGGAATTAAGCACATGCATGATAAAATCTGGCTGACTGAGTGGAAGCAACAGCATGTAATATCATGTCCAAAGTGTCTGAAAATATTCATTTTGCTTCATTCTCAGCAGCCCAAATCACTAATCACATCAGAGTGATGAATTGTTTGGTGTTTGGCATGTACAGTAATTTTATTACTACAACTCCATGCTTGTCAACTGCACTAGCTCACAAGGAAAGCTTAAAGGAGGCCAGGAGGGGATATTAAAAGAAAACCCTTACAATAAAACCACACTCAAAGTAAAAGTAGTACAACGTAATCTACAAAATGTACCTTCTTTAGGGCTCATAACTAATAGATTCTAATGTATTCTAATTTATAAAGTTTGTTAGTGCTAGTCTTTTAACATACAATATGTAGATTTAGTAGTTGAATGCTGTATATTATATTCTTGCAATTATTCAAGTAAGAGAAGTCTACTCTGCTTGAAAATTAAGATAAAATATTATTTACTATGCTAATGTTTTCACTTTCATGCCTGCCAGATAATTTTAATAATCAGGTTTTATTTCTGTCTTGGCTGTCTTCTTCTCCTGTCTCTTCATTCTGCAGTGTTGGCTTCTGGATTCTTAGCCCGATATTCACTATCCATATCTTTTAACCAACATAACCTTTCAACTTGATTTTTAAATGACTCTAGTAGCTGAAGTTGCCTCCCTTGGGGTGCAACTGACTCCCAGAAACATAAATTGGAATTATGTGCGTGCACTCAGAGGAGGATGGGCTCCTTGTTGCTGACAGACTCTGCACAAGCCACCCTGCCATGCTGTATTTAAATAGAAATTGCCAGTCATGCAGTGTAAACGCTTGTGCTCTAGGCACTAAGATGAGACCACCAAACTCACATTTACTTCTGGTCTTATCCAGGATTGGAACCCAGCTCTCCAGAGATGAACGGCTAGCACTAGCAAACCGTATGCACTACACCTGTACGTTCACATATCATACTGATATATGAAATGTTATGGGTACTCTGATGGACTAAGATTTTTGAGTTTCTATTGTAATTTAAATTTTTGTATTCCAGACACCTTCTGAAACTGGAAGCCTGCATTTCAAACAAGGAAGAAGGTGTTAAACTTTGACTGATTAATATCTTAGTTTAATTTTTTTCAAATTGTTCATTATTCCCACCTTTCATTTCCCAGGATATCTTGTTTTCTCCCTGTCTTCTCCTCTAACCTGCAAGCACTTAGACTTTACTCAACTTTACTCAAATTACATGTCCCATTGAACTCAGTGGGGCTACTCACATGAATAAAATTACACATGTAATGCAAACAGCAGTGAGACACCAATTGCAAGCTGTTAGAAGCAGAGACTGTATTTTAGGTATTGTACCAGCACCACGCACATCTTCAGTGCTTAACTAATAATAATAAGTGATCAAGATAAAATGGGTCTGTATATCATATTCAAACCACTTAAATTGAAGTGAGGAGAAAAAGTCATTAATTATCTCGAAGCTTAATCTACTGAAGAGCCTATATTGCATTTCATAGAAGGCAGGGAAACTGCCTATGAATCAAATTAAAATATACCTGGAAGACCCACTAAGTTCAACTGATTAAATAATTTTTAAAATCACCTGTGTAGAAAATGGAGCAGCCAGCCATTCTCTCAGAGAGGAGGACTGAGAGGTTAAGAAAGTTTAAAACAGGGAAATGTGCTTTTTTTGTCCCACAGCTTTCAGATGCCCTAATCTTCTTAATCACCTGAGTCAAAGAGAATGGGCTGTAAGTTATGAGTGTATTTTCCCCTTCCTTTTTATAACTAAGCTTTCTTCTGAGTTACCTAAACCTGTCAGATAGTTTTTCAGTAGTGCATTCTCTGCATAATCATCTTCTGTTCTCCGTGTTTCTTCTGTGGTGTTTGGCCTCAAAGCAGATTTCTCTAATCCTAAAGGCTTACAGTGAAGCTAAGGGACAAGGCAGCTCACTTCTGAAGGATGTTTTTGGTGCTGAAAAGTATATTTTTTGCAACATACCTTTATATTTGCTTCCCATCTGTGTGACACTTTGGAATTTAATAGTGAGCAGTTGGCAGGCAGGATACTCCAAGTGGTAGAAATGTGGGGTTTTGTTTCTTGTTTTATTGCATGTTTCCTGACTGAATAATATTATTTTTTGACAGCTATTATGGATGGAAGATCCTTTGCCTTCAGCCTGAAAAAAAAGCTCTGGGATTGAAAAAAAAAATGGAGGAACTTGGTAGGATCCACTCGGGCCATCGCTTTAGCACTGCATGCTTATTTTCAACTGCATTCACTGTATGTCCATAGGCTGGAGTTCAGAAAGCGGGATATGGAAGCAGATACTCTCAAAGATGAAGACCATATGGCTGAGTGGACTGCCAATGATCCAGCAAGACTGGTGCCATCTCCTAGCAAAATTGCTGGGAAGGCCATGTCCTTTTTGCCCCTGGGCCAGATAAACAGCACAAATGGCTCATTCAATGAACAGTTTACACCCTTCTGCTACTCGGCACAAAGCAGTATGATGGGCAGTAATGGCAGCTCATCAGATAACAGGTTTCATGGCCAAGCTTTTCAGGATGCAAAGCAATTCAATTATTTGGCCAACTCTGCTCTTTTTCCTCATTTGTTGGCATCCAGCGTAACTCAGACTGGAATTGTCCAGGCCAGTAAATGTAGTGACTCGGAAACACTCAGTCCTTCCTCTGCTGCTGCTCCTGCTCCTCAGATAAGTCAGGAACCCATACACTACAGAAACATGGAGCAGGTGAGTTTGCTTTAAGCGTTCATTGCATTTCAGTGGAGTATGAGCATGCCCGGTTTTTGAAGACTGCACAAATAGCGTCTAATGCATTGCCCTAAGAAGGAACAGGTCTGCTAACTTTTGTGTCTGCAACGGAGAGGCTTTAGTGGCAATGTCAGGATGTGGAGTGTGACCCTGTGTCTGATTATGCTGTTTTAAAGACGTCAAGGCAATAAAATGCTGCTTGTTATGATAATCTGTAGTAACAAATTCCTTTTTCCAAGAACAAATCAGTTTGTTCACCCCTTGTTCCTGTCGTTTTGATGTTTATTCCTCTCCACTTCCCTCCTTTAGGAGGAATTCCAGACTTTGGTAGTACATCATCATGTGTGTGACAATGACATGGGAAACCAAAGTTGGGGATTTTTTTTTTCAATGATCACTATTGTCTGTCTTCTTCCTATGCCTTTTCCCTTTTCTTTTTCTTTTCTCAACTTTTATGTCCTTTTCCTCCTTCTCTTCCCTTTTGACTGTCCCTTTTCTCTTTTTTCTTCTTTTAGGGGCAGACAGACAGCTGGACAAGAGTAGCTCTGCACTGTCTCCTGCACCAAAGCAGCCTGCTGCACTGGGTTTCTAACTACCAAATAAAACTGCACTATGGACACCACCTATAATAGGCAACAGCTTATCTGAAATGTAGGGTACGATTACACTGGGACTCTTCAGCACTTTTCCCATCTTTGTGCAGCACCACTAGAGAGAGCAATGGCAGAAGCAGTAGTGTTGATGAGGCACAGACTTTATTTTACTACTGCTACCCCAGGGAGATGCCTGGTAATAGACCAATGTTGGTAAAAGTGCAAGTGTAGACAGGGCCCTACTTGAAGATCATGTCTAGCAGGCAAATGGAGTTTGCTGGGGCTTAGTTATTTAAGATTAGGTTGCCGTGTAGAGGGTCGGCAACATTTTCTGTGAGGTGTAAACTTGTCTTCAGTTTATTGTCAGGCAGTTAAAATCTGGCATAGGGTCCTGGAGATCCTAGATTTTCCTGTAGGCCCTTGCCTCTGTCTTTTTGAAATGCTTTTCCTAGAGACTCCTACAAAGAAAGAACATGTTTGGGTGGCTTCTGTGTATGGTGCTTCCCCAGTGAGGCCAGAAGGGGCAGCAGGAGAATGAAGATAATGCTCTCAGGCAGGCTGCTGGAGAAATACAAGATGCAGAAATAATATAGTCACATAATTACTGTTTGTTTAATTCCTTGAAATGAGATAGACCTTCACAGAACATAAAGAAGACATGGCCCCTACCCCAAAGAGTTTGCAGCCTAAGCAAAGATGAAAGGCAAGGAAGACAAATTGCAGGGGCGGAGTAATGGAGGGAGGATATGCACAAAGACTAGAATGTTGCTTTTTCTCTACTAGGTTATGAGCTATTCCCTCTCCACCCCGCAAGTGTTAACTCATTCCTGCACTGCTAGGGGCTGGAAGTTTTGATCAACAGAGAGGACAGAGGAAGCAGGCCAGTGGGGGGAACAGCCAAAAAGCAGAAGGGGAGAGATGGGAAGGAGACAAACAAGGTGAATGGGGAGTGCACGAGTGAAGGAGAGAGAAAGAAGGATAGACTGACTAGAAGGAGCAGTGGGCAGGTTAGTAGCAGCATTTTAATTTGGGGCAGATTTGGGTCTCTGTTTCTCTGGACCAGGAGTTCTATGGAGGTAGGGAGCTAACCCGCTTGTGTTGGAGATAGAAGGATAGTGCCAGACCTGTTCTGTTCCATAATAGTTTAATGCTTGAGGTGCCTATGACTGTGGCATTAACAGCTGTAGAGTGCCGTAGGTCCTGAAATTTTAGGGGCACTCTTAAATCTCTCCTTTCTACCCATCTTCTCTCTTCTTCTATGACCCCCACCCACCCCAAATTCACAGAGTGCCAAGCAGGTAAGGCATTTTCAGCATGTGGAAAGAGTGGAACATGGCTATTTATTTATTTATCTATATTACAGTGGCACTTAGATGCCCTAAGTGAAATCACAGCCTAATTGTGCTAAGCATTATGCATATATGTAGTAAGAGACAGTCTCTGCCCTGACCAGCTCAGAGTCTAATTAGAAGGGCAAATGGGACAGAGAAGTGAAGTGACTTGGCCAGTGTCACTCAGCAGGTCAGCTGAGTAGAATAGAACCCAGGTTTACGGAGACACCTGCAAATCCTATTGGCTTTTGTGAGAGATCTATGTGCTCAGCACCTCTGCAAATCAGGTCATGAATTATTAACATAGCCGCTCACAAATCTGCCAGCAAATGTGTTTCACTCTACTGATATAGCTTATTCTAATAGCGCTGGGTGAAATGTTTAAAACACTTGAAATTTCAAGGAAATTGTTTTGCAGAAATGTTTTACTGTTTTTTGACTGGCTTATAGAGTGGTCTAAATTTTTCAAATTTTCAAAGAAAAATGTGCAGGAAAAATTTCATTTTTTTGTTTTTTTTTAAATGTGTGCATTTTCCTATCAGCCATAATACTGAATAACACTATGAAATAATTCACTCTTGAATATGTTTTTAAGTATGTGTGGTTTGACTGTAAAAACTGCCATAAGACATCAAAGATTGGGAGAGTGGGAATACTGTCAGGATTAAAATTGTGTTTAATTTTTTTCCATATATGTTACTAACAGTATCATAGACTATTGTATGTGAAAGAATTTGAAAACTCTACTTTTCATCATTTATGTGGTTAATTTACATTTCACTCAAGTTGGACAGTGAAAAAATTGTCAGTTTCACTTCCTGATTCTCATGCCCAAGCATAGAGCCTTGTGCTGGACTATTTTGAAAATCCTGCTCCTCCAGCTCCGCAGTACCAACTCCCACCGGATCCTGCATGGTTTCTTGCATTTTTATCCCACTCCCACGCACAAAACCCTTAGATCCCACAAATCCCGCAGGAAAGACAGATTTCCCCTTGCCACTAAAAATAAAATGGTCAATTTATATATATACTATATATAATGTTGACATCATATATATATATATATATACACGGAATTCAGACAAAATTTTTACCATTCAAAGAATAAAAAAGTCTTGCTTAAACCATGTAAAAATACTTTAACTCCTGTTATAATGGACATGAAATCTCTTTCTATCCCCCATTTAAATTTAAGAATTAAAAGCTTTATTTAAAAAAAGAAAAACTTGCTTTATATTGCTGAAATTCTATTTATGGCAAACTTAGGAGAGATTTGGTGTTTTTTTGTTTGTTGCTTTTTTTTGCCACCTAATCCCTCCTGCAATGAAGTACAGTTTATCCGCTCCCACTATTATGGCAGTGGGTCCTGCAGGACCCATGAGATCCCAATCCCACTGCAAGGCTCTAATTTAGCACACTGCTGTTTTCTTTGAGTGTTATCTCTGCAAAAGAATGTTTAAATACAAATACACTCTTTTTTTTATTGGAATAAAACAATGGAATCACCTTTTAAAAACAAACAAACCACAAAACTAAAACCTCCTTCCTGTTAAAAGGGAGAGATGAGCATATTTAATTCATTTCGTTGGTACTATTTACAGAGCCCAGGGCAGCAGGAACAGGTGATGATGGAACAGATGGAGCAGCTGCAAAGGCTGGTAACTGAACAACAGAAAATCATCACCTACTATAACCCAGGTACTACCAGGATTTCCTCCTAAGAACTCAGTACTGTAAATGGCAGCTGTTCACATTCCTACAATAAAATACTGTAGTTCCCAAAATAAATTCAAGCTATGATGTGGGGTTGGTCGGAGGAAGTAGAAGGCTCTTCACCTGAGAGTTGTACTAAAATATTTTATTCACACCACAAAAATGATAACTCCAGAAAACTTTTCTTTGACTCTTAAGTATTTCCTACAGACATTTCATGTGTAAAAGTGCATTTCTGTTTAATACTAACAGACATTCATGTACATGTGTCGACTAAAGTCTAGATTAAAATTCATTTGTGTTGTAATAAATTTTAGTGTAGTGGGAGGCACTGCTAAAACCTAAAATATCATCTTTCTCGCTTTATAAAAACTAGATGAGAAGGGGAAGGGAAGGAATTCAGCAGACAGGGTTTCTAGAAATAGACTTTCCGTGCTGGTAATTCAGTCTCTTCCCCACAACACAATATAACTTCCGGAACAGCTTCCTCCTTAATGGTAGCAGTACCAGAAAATGGCATCAGCATAGCAAATAAGAAAAGGAGAATCCACCCTCTGCAGGGATTTCCCTGTCCCCCCACCCCCCAACTTTGGAATGGGTGTAGTTCCACAATGCAATGTGAGGGACCAGCTGGGATCTCCACCCACTGCACAGAATCTGGTTTTGCAGGGGCCCTCTGCATGAGTGCAAGCAGGGGGAAGTAGAGAACGAGGCACGGAAAAGCCAGAGGATCTTTGAATTGGTGCTCTCCTGGAGATGTTTCACCAGAGGGAACAGTTTTTGTCCTTTTGGACAGGGTTCCACAGTGCCCCACTGGCAGATGTTGCCTGCGGTATGTACATCTGCACATTGCTCTGGCATCCTGGCCTCCCCTCTCCACTTTCTGGGCTACATTACCCAATTTGGGGATTGCAAGTATCTTGTGCTGCTGAGATGCCTTGAGGACAGACTTTCTACTGCTGGTGGTCTGCAGCTCTAGAACATGCCATCACATATGCTAGGCTAAACTCTAGTTCATCAAGAACCCATGAACGATGATTCCAGCAATGTTGTAATCATGGATCACCTGCATTCCTTAGAAAACGTCTTCTATCACAATTCTCTACAGTTTCAGTTTAGCATCCTCAGTGCCTGACAAGCTCAGTGACAGTAGGAAGTCTTTTGGAAGCAGTGGAGTTACTCTGGAATTACACTGGTGCAAATGAGATTGGAATTTGGTCCAGTGCTTTTCCATAAACAAAATCTGGATAGGTCTGGCAAAATGCTTAGGATGGCAGAGCTCACAAGTAGTTTTAAACTGTTCAACCAGCACTTACAATGCGAATTTCACTAATTTTGGTAGTAGGACAGGGTCATATTTTATGTGGTTAAATGGTTGTTAAATGATTTCTCCATGCTTTTAGTGACACAGACTTTTTCCAACACCAAGCATGCCTATCCTTCCATCTTCCCCCACCTCCTTCTCTTTGCAAAAAATACAGGGCATGGAGTCATTGTAAAGAAAATCATGTTCCATTTGTGTCCCTCGTATATAGTATAGTGTGAAGCAGTACAGAATTTTTTTTGCAACTGTGGGTTACCATGGTGTGTGTTTGAGTAGGGGTGTCAGGGTGTAAAATTACGGGACTAGCTTCAGACTGAAATGTGGTGTGGGAGGGTGGTTTTGGTAGTGGGGAAGTGCTGGAACAAACAGGTTTTGACTCTTTAAAACCCTTAGTTCTTGCTGTCTGTCCAGGGCAATGTTATAAATATACTAGTCCATACTTATGATGATAGAGTTTGATTGTAAAAGGGTTTTGTAAAACTCTCTGTGCATGGAGGGGGGAAATATAACTCAACATTTGATACTTTTTAACTCTTGTATCGCTCAGAACTGGTTTTTCACACTATTTGTGTGTGTGTGTGTAAGGGATGGAGGGAAACCTGGATTCCAGTGGACAACCTGCAGCCCTGACTCAGACTGGCAGGTCTTGGGTAGGGTGAGGTAATATCTTTTATTGGGCCATGTAGTGGGGTGGCTGCCCCACTCCTGCAGAAAAGGGGTTAAAAGCAGCCCTGGAGAGGGCTTCAGCAGGGAAAGGGATTAAGAACATCTGTGGGAAGCTGACTGAGTTGCTGACCACAACTGTGGCCAGCTCAATCAGGGTCCAGCTGGCCCTATAAGAGGGCTGGGGCCCAGGAGCTAAAGAAGTCCCACTTTAGCCCTGGAGTGGGAAGGACTAGCTGCCTGGGAACAGGGTGCCTGAGCAGAATACTGCTGGGGAAGGGCAAAGGGAGCTGGGGAGCTCCAGCCTGATAAACCCCCAGGTTGCAGGCTTTGGTGAAGGCCTCCAGAGGCACTGGGGCTGCAGAGGGGCAGCCTGAGGATAGGCAAAGGCAGCAGGTCCTACCCCCTTGCCAGTGATGAGTGGCCATTACACTGCAGTCTGCCCCAGTGAACAGTGGCTAGCTGATGACTGGCAGTAGCCATTGAGGCAAGGTGGGCCTAGAGGGTTGGGGATTCCCTGGGAGGGGAGACCCAGAGTGGGGATCCTGCTGGTGCAGAACCCTAGGGAATAAGGCACCGGGGTCTGGGAGGGACACGGGGCCAGTGGCAGGTGAGACACCGGCCTGCAGAGGGCGCTTCAGTGCTGGTGAAGAGCTAATTCCCTGGCTGACCAGCAGGAGGCGCCATGCCTGTGAGTCATCGCCTTGCTACAGACCAACTTCTGTTGGTGAGAGAGACAAGCTTTCAATCCACACAGAGCTCTTCTTCAGCTCTGGGAAAGATGCTGAGAGCATTACAGCTCAATACAAGGTGGAACAGAGTGGTTAGCATAAGTAGCTAGCTCATATTCTAAGGGACCATTCAAGGTAGAGTGGCCTGTTAACACCTTTGCAGTCATGGGAAAAAAAGGGGGTTAGTGGATTATAGACTTGTAATTAGCCATACATCCAGGGTCATAACTCTGCTAATCACTAAAAATCATAGACTCAGCAGAGCTCTTGAATGGTCCAATAAAAGATATTACCTCACCCACCCTGTCTCTCAAATATCCTGGGACCGAAACAACTACGACTACACTGCATAGGTCTTGGTTAGGGCATTCAGCAGCAACCAATAATCCTCAAGGATGTTGTGGATGTCTCTTGCATGGTCCATCTTCTGTGATTGTAGGGGAGTGGGTGTTAAATGGACCTTCATGCTGCTATCTTTTTATAATTCTATAATGCAGAAATAATGATTGGTAAAGAAATAAAAACTTGATTTAAAAATTCGACCGTCAAGAAATAATACGTGCAATTCATGATTCTTGGTATAATATTGTCCACACCTCTGCATTTCTCACTAGACCCAAGATATTGTTCCACCAGATGATAGAATGAGTGAATTGCAAAGCTTCATGGGTTCACAGAGGTAGCATTTTGCAATCAAAGATGTAAATCTTTTGTAGTTTCACTTCCCCCACTCCTGCTGTACTATGTATAGGAAACATTCTTGACAAAGACAATTAAGTCCCTCTATCCAAGGGGTGGGCAAACCTTTTGGCCTGAGGGCCACACTGGGGAATAGAAATTGTATGGCAGGCCATGAATGCTCACAAAATTGGGGTTGGGGTGTGGGAGGGGTTGCAGGCTCTGGGGTGGGGCTGGGAATGAGGAGTTTGGGGTGCAGGAGGGTGCCCCGGGCTGGGACTGAGGGGTTCGGAGGGTGGGAGGGGAATCAGGGCTGGGACAGGGGGTTGGGGCATGGGGAGAGGCTCAGGGCTGCAGGCTCTGAGCGGCGCTTACCTCAAGTGGCTCCCGGAAGCAGTGGCATGTCCCTTCTCCAGCTCCTACGCGTAGGCGCGGCCAGGCAGCTCTGCTCACTGCCCCATCCTCAGGCACCGCCCCTGCAGCTCCAATTGGAGCACGTAGCAGCTGGAGCGGGGCCATGCGGCTGCTTCCAGGAGCTGCGTGGTATGGCCCCCGACCCTGCACCCCAGCTGGAGTGCCGGAGCCGGGCCAAGCCACGTGGTGCGGCCCCTGACCCAGCGCCCTGGCCGGACTGCCAGAGCCAGGAAAGCCCCAGACCCCGCTCCCCAGTGGGAGCTTGAGGGCTGGCTTAAAATGGCTTGTGGGTCGGATCTGGCCCACGGGCCATAGTTTGCCCACCCCTGCTCTATCCCTATAAAAATAAAACAATAGTGCCTCACATGTACATGAAGGAACAGAACATGGCTAGTTTGGACAGAATTATTTACAATCTAAATTCAAGTTTCAATCAACATATAAGGAACAACTGCTTGTAAAGCTTCATTTTTAAAATGTTAATCTTTACATTAGGTACAGCTAAACATAAGAAAATAATAAGTTTTGGAGAATCTATTTGGCTTTTGTATATATCACAATTTTAAACTGATTTAAGATGGCATTCCCTACTGCCACTGGAGTCAATAGGAGTTTTACTATTGACTTTAGTGGGAGCACGGGGCCCTTAGACTGTAGATTTTGTAAAAAAAAAAAAAAAAAAATAGAGTCAGATCCCCTGCTGGCATAAATTGGCATATCTCCACTTAAGTCAATGGAGCTACAGTGATGTACATCAGCTAATGTTACATCTAGGTTTTTGACTTGTTTAACTAGAATTCCAGCCCAATGGAATGAAAGGGGTTAGAACGGCTGAGTTCTGACAGACCCTTCATTTTCAGGATAAGACATGGTAATGGAGGGAAAAAAGTTTCCTTTCCAACCTGGCATATACATGAGAGATTATCAAAATCTTTCCAATTGCTTCAAGTTTCAGAATCTTTGGAAATGTCTAAGCTCTGGGGTTCCACTTCATTTCTTCTCACCCTGAGAGAATTCAAGACCTTTCTATAGGAACTTCGAAAAGTCGGGCTTGAGAAGCAGTACACGATGGGGTCCATAGCACTGTTGAGATAGGTCCAGCAGACAGTAACATCAAATACATTCACAGCAAAACGAAAAGCTGCACAGCTTTCAAAGTTTTGGAGAATATACAC